ATCAAATTTCTACCACCATATTAAGATTGTAGTAAGATTCCCACATCCTTGCCATACCGGAAACATAGTAAACCACTCATACTAGGACTTCCACCTACAATGCTGTGTCTTATGCTTTAGGCGTAGGAGGGATAGTTTGTGACCCTGGCAATATCAACGGTATCCATTTCACTGCTTTTTGCTTTTTCAATGACAGCTGAGGCTGAAATACATAGTTGATAAAGGCGTCCACCTTGTATTGGTGTCAACTATTGCCCTTCTTCACAATCCTATTCCCTAATATTCCTGTAGGAGCCTCCCTTGCAGGTCAGTGGACCTGGTCTAACATCAGCCACAGTCAACCACCCAACACACGTCCTAGTCCAACCGAGTGACTACAGCCCTACGCTCTATTCCAACACAGCCAAAGTCAGAAATAGTATTTTGATTTCTGTACAGAATACAGTCGTTTTTTTATATTTGTACAGAATGCTTGATTTTTGCGATTTTTTTCTGCGATAACACACCAAGCAATATCTGTAACACCCATTCACACTTTCTGCACACTATTATTATAGAGCTCTATAATTATATCAGCTCACTGGACACTGTCCGCTAGATGCACACACATTTTTGATACGCAACGACTCAACGATGCTAATGGCAGAGGCGCGCTGGCAACCACCCCACTCGACCGGGTTGGACACGCATGCGCACAATGTTAGGGTGGGGCTCGTATTCTTACAATCACAAACATGGCTGAAGAATTTCTCCGCGATCATCCGGGGCTGAGGCCCTTCGTTCTCTCCGACGTCCAGCTCACTGGCACCGAAATCGGCGGTGGGGCTTACGGCAAAGTGGAGGAGGTGGTCGTTTCTGTTGGCGCCGCCGCTAAAACAATCTACGCCTTCTTGCGAGAAGCCAAAGCCTCGACCGAGTTCGTGAGGGAATGTCAGCTTATGAGCACCCTCCGCCACCCGAACATCGTCCAGTTTCTGGGCGTCGCTTTCTTTCCCGGCTCACGACTGCCAGCCCTCGTCATGGAGCGACTGCTGACGAGTCTTCACGACTTGCTGGCTCCTGACCCGCCGCCTCCGTCCGGCGCCGTCACGCCGCTATCTTTCTTCTCCGTGGATCTCAAGTCCTCCGTTCTGCACAACGTAGCGTGTGGCCTAGCATACCTCCACGAGCGATCATCGCCCGTCATCCACCGCGACTTGTCGGCCAGAAACGTTCTCCTGGACTCGGAGATGGTGGCCAAGATAGCGGACCTGGGCGTGGCTCGTATCGTTACTCGTGTGAGAGCTGCAGCCACCATGACAAAGGGACCAGGGGCCTTAGTCTACATGCCTCCAGAGGCTTTTGCACCAACTCGATCGAATACCGATAAGTCGAAATACGATGCCAGCATCGATATATTCTCTCTTGGAGTTGTCACCGTTTTCGCAATTGGTGAAGTCTTCCCCTGTGATCCTCTAGAGCCAAACTACTTTGATGAAAAGAGTGGAGTGCTGTTAGGTCGCACTGAACTACAGCGACGTGCTGAGTACATGCGATATGTAAACGAGCAACTCCGTGCCTGTGGCCAGCTCCGTGGGGACCACCCTCTCATTCGGCTGATCCAGCAATGCCTGCACAATCTCCCAGCCAAGAGGCCAGGTATTCGAGAGGTGCTTCGTCTGTTGGAGGAGGCCAGAGCTGGTTTTAGAGATGAAGGGAGTGAGAGGAACAAACATGAACTGGTACGAGCTCTTCAGACCCAACCCAGGAACCAGGTGAGGGACTGTACACTCATTAGGTATGAGTTGATGTGTTGACAAAAACTCTTGTGATTCTACCAGAATTTGGAGCGTGTTCTCCGAGACCTGGTGACAGAGAATGCTCATCTCCAGTCCCGTGTGCAGGCTAAAGACACGGGAGATTGCTGCAGCACAGCAGCGATTGAGACGTAATGTGAGTCTTAAAGATGATATAGTTGCACAGTCAAGTGTTGTGTGTTTTGTGATCGCAGGAAGAACATATGCAAGCAACTGAGAGGGAGATGCAGACACTCAGACAAGAGCTGACAAGAAAAGTGAATACTTCGATCATGTGTTTAATCATTATGAACTCATTGTCTCTCTTGGTTACTGTAGGAAACAGAAGTGACGAGAAATAAAGCAGAGCTGACAAGAAAGGAAGTTGACTTGGCTGAAACTCGGCAACAGTTTATACAAAAGGTTAAAAAAAACTAGTGTTTAGCATTTTTAGCAGTATGAAGTCGTGATGCGATTGCTTTTCAGGAGGAACAGTTACAAACAAATGAGAGAGCAAAACTGAGAGTTTTTAGCAAAAGCATGTTCAACATTCTCCCTCTTGGTTTCTGCAGGATGCAGAGGTGGCGAGAAAAGAGGCAGAGGTGACGAGGGCAGAGGAGACTATCAGGAGAGAGCAGCAGCAGATTCAGGAGATGAGACAGAGAGTTAGTCTAGTGTGTGGAGTTGTGTGTTGTGACTAGAGGTCCTCCTGACTGCAGGAGACTGAGTTAGTGCAGGCCAAGGACAGGGAGATAGCTCTGCTTCAGCAGCAACTGGGGGAAAAGGTCAGTGATGAATGGTCAATTCACTGGCTATGAATATCAGTACAGCTCTAATTTCACACACCTGAATGTGTATATAAGAGTATGTGTGGTAACTAAGAATGTGAGTAAAAATTGTCCAAATTTCCCTCCTTTGTCATCCACTCGACAGTCTTTCTGGACTCAAAAGCAACCGAAATAGCATTCATTTGTGGCAGGAAGACCACTTTTTTATTTCTTACTTAGCGAGCTCAGTAATTTGCAATAATGGTATTGTTTTTGTCGATGCGTGGACTTCTAAATCTTCTGAAGTTTCTGGTCTCTAAATTGCACACAATGACATACGTATGTTGCACAGACTCCCCTGGGGTTTGGGAAGGTGCCGGTCAAGGTAAGTCCCATTGTCACACTCCTCCAGCCCCTTCCCTCCTCCCTTTACCACCTCCCGTCCCTTTACCACTGTCCCTGTCAACGTCTTCCCTGGGACTCTCACTTGGCCTACCAGCGAGAAAGTAACGCTTGTTTGCTATTAAACCTGCACCGAATTTGAACAGTGTACACATTGCATATGTCTTAAACAGGTTGGCCTCTGGGTGTAGTTGCCTTGTTTGCCTTGCCTTGCCTTTCTACCTCGTTACCAAGTCGTTGAGACATGCATATGCTCGGTTTGGAGTTGGGCGTCTTTTGTGGTTTAATTACCCCGGTCTGCTCCTACATACTGAGTAAGAGTATACTGTGCCATAGCACAGTGGTTTGAGGTTTGCCTTGTGTTGTGTTCGAACCCCTACCAGCTGAGTTGCCCTGGTAGCTCAGTTAGTAGAGCGCTCGCCTAGACTGCAGTGTGTCGTGGGTTCGAATCCCACAGCTCTTCTTTTCTTTGAAGAAAGAGCTGTCCTGGGTGTAGTTGATTTGTTTGCCTTGCCTTTCTACTTCGTTACCAAGTTGTTGAGACAAGGAAGAGCCTTGGGGGTATTCCTTGTGTTCAAACGCTATTCAAGCACCTGAACTGGTACGAACTCTTTGGATCCAATCCCAGTTTGGTTTGAACTCAAATCAGCACTGAATTCATTTTGACTTGCAGTCTTGTACGTTGGTCGATCGGGGCATTGGGGCACGTGACAACGATTGAGATTCTTCAAAGATAGTGTGTGTTAGGCAATGCTGGACTCGATTTTTTCCTTCAAGTCAGAGTATAAGGTAGCGTTTTCTTATCGCAGCTCTATTGCTATAACTATATATAGCCATGTTAGACATTGCCTTATAGTTTGCCAAACACAAGGTTTTCACTTGTTATTCACTCTTCGCTCTCTGTCTGTCCCAGCACTCTTACACATGTCAGGTCAGTGGACCTGGTCTAACATCAGCCACAGTCAACCAACCAACACACGTCCTAGTCCAACTAACTGACTCTAGTGGTAGACCATACTCACTTCCACTGAATGTCACCGCACAACTTGAGCTCGTTTCAAAAGCCACACCCACAAATACACCTGAAGCCACACCCACTAGATCAAGGTGGCCTTGGTCGAAGAAACAGCCAGAAAAACAGGTATTGGTTGCCATGACGTCTCCCTCCCAATACGAGGTGTCGTACACACCAGTCAGTCGAGGCCAACACAAACTCCATGTTCAAGTCAACGACAGGGAAATCAATGGCAGCCCCTTCACTGTGACCGTGTACCCTGACCCCAGACAACTAGGCCACCCAGTGAGGACTGTGACTGGATTGGTCAAACCATATGGCATTGCCTTCAACAGTCACCAGGAGATGATTGTCAGTGAATGTGGGGGTCATAGATTGTCTATCTTTGACATCAGAGGACAGAAAATTCGAACATTTGGATCACGTGGTGACAGTCCAGATCAGATGAAATACCCTACAGGCATAGCAACTGATGATACTGACAATATTTATGTGAGCAGTGAGCACAAGCTGCAGAAGTTCACTAGCAGGGGTGAACTGATCAAATGTATTGGTCGGAGGGGCAGTAAGGAGGGGGAGTTTAATGATCCACGTGGAGTAACACTGTATGACAATCAAGTGTATGTGTGTGATCATTATAACCATCGCATTCAGGTGTTTGACCTCGACTTGAACTTTGTCCGATCCATTGGCTCACGTGGCAAAGGAAGAGGTGAATTCGATGCACCATATGATGTCAAATTTGACACTGCCGGGAACATGTATGTAGCTGAGTTTGGTAATGGGAGAGTGCAAGTAATGGACACCAGTGGCCAATTCATACGAGTATTTGGTCAGGAAGGAGAGGGAAAACTGCGTGGGCCATCAGGTCTTCATATTGTTGACAAGTATGTGTATGTGTCTGATTACATTGGTGATTGTATTGTAGTGTATGAGATCTCAGGTCAGTTTGTCACCTCATTTGGAAGGCGTGGTCAGAAAGAGGGAGAGTTTAATGGTCCACGCTGTATCACTTCTTGTGTTGATGGTTTTATACATGTATGTGATGGTTCCAACAGTAGAGTTCAGATATTCTAGAACACCCAATGCTACTGCCATCCATACATTTATCATAACAGTCGATCTCTAGACCACACCCCTTTTCCTACCACTGTAGTCTATGATGTAACGTTTAATTGTACTTCGATCATGGTTGTAACAAAAATGGTCCATTTTATTATGGTTTTTTGGCAGTTGCATAACATTATTATTCCTATTAATTAGCTAGCATGTTTTGTTCTAATTTGTAATGACTCATGCATTATAATATTTTTGTTAATTAGTGTCGTTATCAGCACTCCTAATTTTATATCTTTTATAAAGAAATATTTCTCTCCTATGGGACGATCTTGGAATATTACGGTAATCTGACCGTTTTTAAAATCACACGTAGTTTTATTCATTATGTGTGGTTGATATGCAATGTTATGTATAGGTTTGATGATGGCAAGTATGCTCGTGAATAGAGCATACTTGCCATCATCAAACCTACTTGGTACATGTCTCTGTAGTAACTACAGCACAATGGATAATTATGCCACCCTTTTTAGGAAAGCCTTGTGTAAGCACTGGAAAGTACAGCACAGCAAATTTGTGCAAGTTTGTATAGTGGCAGTATTGCTAATGGTGGGTGTTACTACAAACCTATATATACCTCATAATGCGTCGTTGCCAGGGTAACATGTACTAAGTGGGCCACCATGCACCACATAATACACACCTGCACTAAGATCATTGGACTATAGTTGACAACATACATTACATAATGATGACATCATAAACACAATGTTAAGAGTTGTTCTCAAGGCAGGAGCTAGGGAGGATCTTGGAGCAGTTGATTCCTCGATGAGTGGCTTTCTCTGGTTTGACAAACAGTCCGTGAGAAGGCTTGCAGCGAAAGTAGCGATGTCCCTTCACCGACCCATCGTTCTTTCCATCTGCAGAGGAGAGAGAGTGAAAGAGTTGAAGAGGTTAATGGGCCAGGGGTTAAAGTTAATGAGGCAGGGTTTAAAGTTAATGAGCCAGGGGTTAAAATGTTTTGCACTGCAGTGGTTTGGATGCCATGGGTATCTGCTTAAATAAGCAGAATTTCATGTATAAAGTATTAGCACCTAGTATTATAACCCCTATAAATTCTTATGGACTTATGGAGGCTCTGGACACATGACTTTCAATTTTTCGCATGTATTAAGAATCACGTAGAACATTACGGTGCGCGTATTGCCCGTCACATCCTTGCATTCAGACAGAGAAAAAATGATTTAGCGAAACCAAAATTTGTATCAGAACTTGGAGCGTATCCTGCGACACATGGTGAAAGAGATTGCTAAGCTCCAGTCCAGGGTGGAGGGGCAAGACAGGGAGTTAGCTGTACTGCAACAGCAACTGGACACACTGAGGGCCAAAGTCCCGGTATGTGACTTTTTTTGAGAATGTGCATGTTGATTTTTCTCGAATTGCTCGATGTATAAATAGTTCTTCAAGATTCCTTTCCTTTGGTCTTGGTTTTTTATAAACATTCAATGCATACTTTTCACTCCAGAAAGAAAAGCCCTCTTTTTAAAAGATCATTCTCAACATGAACGCACGATAGCCAACTCTCTCTGTACGATGTTCCTCTATCTTTATGTTCTCATACCAGCCTGAAATCATTCACCATAATTATTCCATAATTTTAATAAAACGAGGTTTTGGCTCTTTTGACCCACAACTAGTACACAAGGAATTAATACATCCGTTTGGACCGTAAGGAAGCATAATATGAGAATATTGTTGGGTTCAGCTGGTTTAGGTGTGCATAAAGACAGAGCTGTCCTGGGTGTAGTTAACTAGCTGTCCTGACTTATTTGCCTTGCCTTGCCTTTCTATAT